TATCCAAGGCTTATTTACCCTGTCACAAAATTCCAGTTGGACAAATGCCAGGCACCCTAATATGCTGCTCAATTCCTTTACTACATCGCTTTCCACTATTCATTCACTAGACCAGAGGTTTCAGACATCAGGCCTGATACCAGATGAAAATGTAATTGAGAAATAATTAACAAAACAAATAAAAATTCCAATAAAACATCAAATAACATAAATTTGTGGTTTTTGAAGTTGGTATGCAGCCAGCAGGGATTCTTAGGAATGGCTTGGTGGTCCCCTTCCTATTTGAGTTGGAAACCGTTGCACTAGACCAGTACTTTTTCCTAGGGAAGTTTCCATTCATCCTCACAAGGAGGGATATTTCTCTAATAACACATCCCAATGATCTTTACTTTAGGAAATTAATGAATGGTGCAAGGGGTACAGAGACAGAATCTGAAGTGAGAGCCTAGAGACAGGAGTCTATATAGTCCATTTCTCTTCTCAAGGACAGAGATTTATCCATCAGACTTCTCTTTTCTAAGCCACCTAGTTCCCAATCTTCACCTTCCCTCCCAGGGTTACAAGTATCTTTCTTTATTTATTCAGAGAGCCTGTCAAATAGGACTAGGGCTCTAGAGAGTACTACCTTGGGGTGAGAGCATGGGAGGTGTCCTGGGGGTATCAGATTAGAGGGCATATTGACAGGGGAAAGGGATGTAGTGGCACAGGTAAGACTGGGAAAGACCACAAACAGGACCATTCCCTTCTATGTTTTCTCCCACCTACATTTTCACTTCTCCCCAGCTTCCTCTTCACCCATGAATTCTGCCTTCTCTTTCTCTTGTCTGCCACTTTGCCTTCTCCTTCTTTAGAGAGTTGCACACGAGATAAAAGACAGGCCCTATGAGAGCTCTTTCAAAGGAGGGAATAACAGGACGAAGAGGAGCCACCAGAGGATGATAAATCTCTCCCCCTCTATCACAGGAGACCCTGAGTGTCAGATTGATCCAAGTTCCTCTTTTATGGGGTTTCTAGATTTCTGACTCAAAGCAATGCTTAGGGTATAATTTGTCTCCATTTCATATAAGCATTTGGAAAAAGTGACTCATTCTGGACAGGTTGGGAAAAACCTGGTTGAACGATCATGGAATTTGATAGATCAGGAAACTGATTGGACTGTGGATTTCAAAGCACAGTCGTTTGTAGCCCACATAAGTCTATGTCAGCTTACTTTATGGTAACTGCTACTCTTACAGACCAATCTCAGGTCTAAGCTCCAGGCTTCCTCTACCACTCCAGGTTCTAGGTGCCCAACTAATGAGTCAAATATTTTTCTCTAATAACATTGGCTCAAAGCCTCACAGTGTACTTTCTCCCAAGATTTAAGTGGAGAATGTTTCTATTCAACTGACCTTAAAAGCGGTATAGTAAGAACAGTCATTACAAATCATCCCCCCAACACTAACTGACACTCTATCCATGGAAAACTGGACTCCAGAGAGCAGGTGTGGCAAGAGTAACTCACAACTCCTGGGCGCTAGAAGTCCTGGGCCACTGGACTCTGATGGCTGGGGAAGGAAGAATGAGCCCGACCACTTCACACCCCTCTGCCTCCCTTCAGTCCAGTTAACAGGTGAATCAAGAGCAGGTGAAAAAGCCTCAGGTGCACCTGCTCTGGGGACTGTCATCACAACCCTGCACACAGGCAACCCAGTCTTGGGGTCATGCTCTCACTAGACTGAAACATCAGTGGTATTGGGTAGCCCCTCTCTGGGTCTGAGGATCCTTTTAGGAAGACCACACTGATCACCTCCCAGTGTGAGGAAGGGCTAGAAAAGGGGCCCTAAAAGTTGTCTGCTTCAGGAAACTGTTGTCTACTTGCCATGGCAGGTGGGGATTCCATCCTGTGCTCAAAACCCAAAATATTGTACAAAAAGTTTTGCAAAGATGATCCCACTTACCATCAGTACATGGAATGTGCACACATGCTTATGCACAACACAAAATCCAGTAGATAGATCCAAGAGAAAGAGAAATATGTTTTGGGACTTGACTTCTATGAGGATTCATTTCATTTGACTCTGCTTATTTGCTACTTTGGCATTTTTCCTTTGGATATTTCATTTTCTCAGTTAATAGGGGTCACAGGGAGGAAGGAATAGAAGTATTAATCTAAAAATAGATCCACTGAGACAGTTGAAAATGCATGGAAGAGAACAGAAGAAAGTTCAAAAACACAGAAGAGCAGACTTTTAAAAAAATAAACAATTTCTTACATACCTTTCTCAATAGGCAAGCAGTGTGAAATGGAGATTCACAGTTTTACAAAGAGTCCCCTTTTTGTGTTCTGCCATGTGTGTGGAAATGCTTTTTAAGTGTTTAACCAAAAAAATAAAATTTAAAAGATAAAGCTTTAGAGCAGCGTAATCAGGAATAGAAAGAACTGGAAGAAAAGATGTCCTGGAAAAGGACTACATGCGTTTGGTATAAATGTAAACGAAAATCATCCCAGAATAAAAAAATGACTTACATGAGAAAATCAGAAAAAACTGGGCAGATTTAAATAAACTGATGTACATTATAGTAATCACATATAGGAGGAAAATTTGCAGAATGATTATAATCACGGAACCACTCAAAACTAGACATCAAAAATCTGTTAAATGCAACGGCCAGTAATGGTATGAAAGGGCTGACAGTCAAGCATGCCTCTTTCTCCTCCAAGGAGTGTGTTGGACTATAAGTGGGGTGTGAGGAACATACTGTCAGATGTGGACAGTGTATTGGCTTGTTTGGTTTTATTGTATTTTTTTGTGTGAAAATGACAAGTTTGAAGTGGGTCATTGAGAAGTGACAGCAAAGAAAAGATAACTAAATATATGACAAATTAACAAGGGAAAATATTAAGTTTAGAAATAACTAGGTCACATGTACAAAAATATTTATAGCAGCTCTTTCCATGTGGGCAAAGAATTGGACATTGAGGGGAAGCCCATCAATTGGAGAATGGCTGAACAAGCTGTGGTATACGAATGTAGTGGAATACTATTGTTCCATAAGAAATGACGGGCAGGCCAACTTCAAAAAAACCTGGAAAGATTTATATGGACTGATGCTGAGTGAGGTGAGCAGAACCAAGAGAACGTTGTACACAGTAACAGTCACATTAAATTGTGACTAACTTTGATAGACTTAGCCCTTCTCAGCAACGCAAGGATCTAAGACATCTCCCAAAGTCTCATGATAGAAAATGCTATCCACATCCAGAGAAAGAACTATGCAGTTTGAATGCAGATCAGAGTATACTATTTGCTCTTTTTTTTCCTCTTTCTTGTGGTTCCTCCTATTGGTTCTAACTCTTTCTTACAACATTGCGAAAATATGTTTAATAGGAATGTATATGTAGAGCCTATATCACATTGCATGCCATCTTGGGGAGGGAGGTGGACAGGGAAGGGGAGAAAAATTTAAAACTCAAAAGCTTATGGAAGTAATTGTTGAAAACTAAAAATAAATTAATAACAAAAGATTTTTTAAAATCCCTGGGTCAAGACCACCATAAAATAATTATTAGATGCTATTTGAACACACATAAATACATACACACACATACACCAATACAACAACCCTTCCTGGGCCATGTTCCTACCTGGAATTCACAGTTCCAGGATAGGTCCCCAGCAGGGTGAATATTAATTACCAGGAGTAATCCTGAGGGGTTGTAACTGTAAGCTTCCTATCCACAAATAGCCTCGATTCATAAAAGCATACATTCAGGTGGCACAATGAGAATAGTTACTAAAAATATTCCCAGTCAGCACCTGAGGCACTGTCTCCCACATATACACACAGAGTCCATGGTATAACCCAATTCATGTCCTGGCTTTTCTGCTCACTAATGGAAAATTCCATGGAAAAGAAATGATCTCTGCTTGGTCCCTCTCTGCTGGAGGTCAACTATATATGGGTTCCTGGGAGCCAAATTCAATGGCCTTTTCTCAGTCTTCCTCCTCCCCCTCTCTGCAGATTGTCACCCTGTTGGTCAGCCTCTCCTCCTGGATCTTCCTTCTCTCCAGGTTTTCAAGACACTGGTCATTCTTGTTCCTCCCACCTATCAGAACCCTCCTCAGTCTCCTTTGCTGTATCCTCAGCTGGATCATGCCCTCTAACCATACATGTCCCAATTCCATAAATATTTATTAATAATAAATATTAAATATTCATTACCGAGTGTCAGGCACTGTGCTAAGCACTTTGGGATACTAATAAGAAAAAGAGTCCCTGCCCTCAAGAACCTTACAATATGATGGGGAGAAACAATGCACAAATGAGGGTGTGGAGGGGACTAGACACCAGAGGATCTTGTACCATGGAGTTGAAACCAGACGGAGCTGCAGATACAAAGTGAAGTGATCCCATAGGGCTCACACAGTGGACCCTTTCTTCTCCTTCTATACAGTTTCACCCTGGTGACCTCATTATCTCCCATGGATTCAATTACTATCTCATTGCTGATGGATCTCCTATCTACCTTTCCTTTCCCAACCACTTTGCTGACCTCCAATCTCTTATCTCTAACATCCTTTGAAACATCTCGAATTGTATGTCCATTAGACATCTTGAACTCCTCATGTCAAAATCAATGTCATTATCTTTTCCCCAAACCCTCCCACCTTCTGCCTTCATTATTACTATGAAGAACAATACCATCCTCCCAGTCCCTCAGGCTCACAATCTGGAAATCATCTCTGATTCCTCCCTCTCTCTTCCCTATGTTGGTTATCTCCAATTTACCCTCATAGATTTGTTTGATAATAGTTATTCTAATGCAGCTTACCCATAAGACTGGGATCTCCAGAAAATCAAAGCTTTCTCCTAAGCTGGAGTCAGCCAGTTCTGCTCCTAGAAGCCCACACCCCCAGCTGCTTTGCATGAAGAGATCCCCAAGGGGAGGGCCTGCAGACCCAGGGAGATAAACTAGGGCTGGGGCAGAGCAACCACAGGGGAGGAGACACCGCAAAATGGGGTCACTGTCCCAGCTTCTCTGTGGGCTCCTCATGCTTTTGGTCCCAGGTGAGAACATGGGACAACACAACATGCAGACATACAATTTCTCATAAGGTGAGAGAATTCAAAGGAGCTTAGAATCTCTGGGGCCATTATCCAGCACAGTCCAAAGGGGAGTGTGGATTTCTAGGAGGTCAATGGGATTTGCAGAGCCAGGCTGCTGTGGGCTGAATATCAAAATGGAAGGAGATTCTTCTGTTTATTTCATGTTGGTTCATCATTAATTCCTGTTTTTAGGTTCCAGGAAGGTAAATGTGCTGACCTCGTCTCCAGCCTTAGTGTCTACGACCCCAGAAGAGAGAATCACCATCAGCTGCAAGGCCAGTCAGAGTATCAAACACTGTAACGCATACACTTATCTGAACTGGCTTCAACAGAAGCCTGGACAATCTCCTCTGAGACCCATTTACAGGATTTCCAATCTGGATTCAGGAGTCCCTTCCTGGTTCAGTGGCAGTGGTGCTGGGAAGGATTTCACCATCACAATCAGCAGTGTGGAGCCTGAGGATGGGGCAGATTATTACTGTTTTCAACATTCTCTTGATCCTCCCACAGTGTTACATCTCCAAACAAGAACCTCCCCAGGCCTAGGCTGGCTGGTCACAGGGGTGGGGGGGGCTCAGCAGTTTCCTCTCCTTCCTGTCCTCCAGCAGCTCCTGAGCTGCCTACTCACCGTCAGGGTCTCTGAGGCTGACATGAGAAAAGGCACCCAGGGCTCAGGGGAAAGGCCATGGTCTGGCAGCTCTGTGCCCTGAGGGCTCTCACTCCTCTTCAGCCATGAGCAGTATAGTCCAGGAAAGACCCAGTCCCTCTCAGATTGGTTCACCCTACACTGCCCTGGGCCTGAGGCACTCTCCCATTCATATTTCATCTGACTCACCACTCAGTGACAGAGAATAAGCCAGAGATCTCTAGCCAGAGAGTCTTTCTGTCCTTTCTTCTTAGCTCAACATCCCATAGAAAGCAATGACTCATGGACTCAAGATTTTAAGAAGACCAGGCAGCAGCCAAAGGAAATCCATCAATGAGCCAAGCTTAAATTTCACATCCTGGGCCCATTTTCTCTGATCATGTTTTTACATCTGCTTTTGATCTAATTTTTATCTATTCATGTCAGTGCTCCCTGAAGAGGTCTCTCTACAATCTCTTCTGCCCAACCTTTTCTAAGGAAGATTTCAGTTCCTACAAAGGAGGGGAATGAGATATTGGTGCCTGGAAGCTGGTTATTCTATTCTCCTCATAGATAAGGTTCCTGGTTAGAATTATAACAATTTTCCCCACCTTAATACTGTTAATCTAAGGGAATAAATATTTTAAAGCCCAAGCTGAGCTCTTCATTGCTAGCTCTTCCTGGGGAAGGATTGCCCCAAGCTCCATGAATATCCCAGACTTGTTTCCCTTCCCACCAAATGCAAGTTGCACAAAGACCACAGAGAGTACATATCAAAGGTACCCTTTTATCCAAGCTGATAGTAAACAGAAAACAGAGGAATGATACAGATGAAAATATACCAGACAATACATCTAGTGAATTTCCTTTCCTGCTCAGAATGAAATATATCCGTTGACCTATAAGAACATTCCAGACATTCCCAAAGAAGAAACAAAAGGAGAAAAGTTTCACTCTCCCTAACTGGGGTAGAAGTTCCTCAAGCTTTGTGTACATCTCTATCTATCTGTCTGTCTGTCTATCTGTCTACAAAACAATACAAAGAGTGATTGAACTTTCCTGCTCAGAGTGAAGTCTCTCACTTAGACTAAGAGAACGTCCCAGATACCACCCAAGAGAACATTCCCCCAAGTCTCTACTGTGGGATGCTTGGGTTAAAGACATGATAGTGTTATTGACTCCTGTACATGTTGGCTCCTTCACAGACTCCTTCTCTCACTTCAGAGAATGTTCCCTGGAGAAAATCAGGAACTACTTGTCAGCCCTCTCAAAGCTGGAAGCCTGAAGGCTAGGATTGCCCTACTCCCAACTCCATCCGTGATACAGGTGTGGAACATTGAGTATGTTAACACATAAATATATGAATATATATAACATATATTTTATGATAATATATATACATATATATAAAGCACATATTTTATGTAAACACATATTGACCATATCAGAATATTAACCAATGAGGAGATTCTTATGAAATTGGACTTGAGGCCATGGGAATAATGTGAGATGCACACTTGTTAATCTATTGACGGTACAAGTGATTCATGTTTGCCTATTCCCGAGACAGATATCCAAAAATAATACAACAGCCACTAAGACATTCATAGAAAAGCAGGTACTCAAAACCCACCACTCTGCTCTTTTTTGGCCTGTCCTCTCACTTTACAATCACTCTCTCTTTCTCCTTCTCCCAGTATAATCCTCTCTCACCCCTTAATTTTATTCTCCAGATATCACCCTTCATCTTCAACTCACCCTGTGCCATCTATCTATCTATCTATCTATCTATCTATCTATCTATCTATCTATCTATCTATCAACATAAACATAATTTTTCCCTCCAACTACCCTAATACTGACAAAGATCTCATGAGTTACAAATATCATCTTTCCATGCGAGAATATAAACAGTTCAACATAAATATATCCCTTATGACCTCTCTTTCTTGTTTACTCTTCATGTTTCTCCTGAGTCTTGTATTTGAAAGTCAGATTTTCTGTTCAGCTATGGTCTTTTCATCAAGCATGCTTGAAAGTCCTATGTTTCACTGAATGTCCATTTTTTCCCATTAAGGATTACACTCAGTTGAGCTGAGTAGGTGATTCTTGGCTGTAATCTGATCTCCTTTGCCCTCTTGAATATTATGTTTCAAGGCCTCTGGTCCCTTAATGTAGAAGCTGCTAAATCTCATGTTATCCTGATTGTGTTTCCACAGTACTTGAATTGTTTCTTTCTGGCTGCTTGTAATATTTTCTCCTTGACCTGGGAACTCTAGAATTTGGCTACAATATTTCTAGGAGTTTTCCTTCAAGGATCTCTTTCAGGAGGTGGTGGGTGGATTCTTTCAATTTCTATTTTGCCCTCTGGTTCTAAAATATCAGGGCAGTTTTCCTTGATAATTTCTTGAAAGATGATGTCTAGGCTCTTTTTTTGATCATGCCTTTCAGACAGTCCATTAAATTTTAAATTATCTCTCCTGGATCTATTTTCCTGGTCAGTTGTTTTTCCAATGACATATTCCACATTGTTTTCTAATTTTTGATTCTTTGGATTTGTTTTATAGTGTCTTGATTTCTCATAAATTCACTAGCTTCCAATTGCTCTGTTCTAACTTTTAAGGAAGTATTTTCTTCAGTTAGCTTTTGGACTTCCTTTTCCATTTGGCCATTTTGCTTTTTAGAGCATTGTTCTCCTCATTGGCTTTTTGGACCTCTTTGGCCATTTGGGTTGGGCTCTATTTTAAGCTGTTATTTTCTTCAGTATTTTTGGGGTCTCCTTTAGCAAGCTGTTGACTTGTTTTTCATGATTTTCTTGCCTCACTCTCATTTTTCTTCCCAGTTTTTCCTCTACTTCTCTTACTTCTTAAAATCCTTTTGAGCTCTTCCATGGCCATTCATATTTTTCTTGGAGGCTTTGGATGTAGGAGATTTGACTTCATTGTCTTCTTCTGGTTGTGTGTTTTCATCTTCTTTGTCACCAAAGAAAGATTCTATGGTCTGATTTTGTTTGAGCCTTTGTTTGCTCATGATCCCAGTCAATTACTTGAGTTTTAAACTCTTTGTTAAGATAGAGGTCTGCTTCCAGTGTGGAGAATGTACTGTCCCAAGCTTCATGGTTTTGTGCAGCTGTTTTCAGAGATACTTCTAGAGATCTGTAAATTTTGAGTTCTTCCAAGGTGGTATGATAAGGGACAAAGTGTTTATACCTTTCCTGGCCTGTGTTCTGGTCTACAAGTGACCACAAGCACTCTTTTCTGCCATGAAACTGTGAGGAGAATTTTCTCTGCCCACCACTACCAGCTCCACCACGCCAGCACTCCTCCTTGCCCCGGGATAGCCATCCAGAACTGTGACCCAGATCCAACCACGGGCAAAGCAAGAGAATCCCGTGCCAGCAAAGAGATCCCTGCAATCCCCTTCTGATCAGCCACTTGATTCCTCCTCAGTCTGGGGGCCTGAAGCTCTGGAAGCAGCCACTGCCCCAGGGTCATGCTTGGGGACTGGGGCTTGGACAGCACTTCTCTCTCACTAAGGTCACAGACTTTTCCTACTGACCTTTTAAGTTGTCTTTGGCATTTGTGGGTTGAGAAATCAGGAAACCACCACAGCTTCCCATGATTCAGTCCTCTGAGGCCTATTCCAGGTTTGCCAAGGCCTGTTTTGCCTGCATACCCATGCTGAACTACATTCCTCTCCTCACCTGGTGCAATATAACTTTCCAATCAACCATCCAGGTTGTTTTGGGCTACAAATTTCATTCACCCTCTTTTTTTTGTGGGTTCTGCTATTTAGAATTTGTTTAGAGCCATTTTTACGGGTATTTGGAGGAGTTTGGGGGAGAACTCAAGCAAATCACTGCTTTTACTCTGCCATCTTAGCTCTGCCCTCCACTAATCCTCTTGCTCTACCATCCATTTTCTGAAGTATTGTTTATCCTGTTTGTCTTGGAAAGTCCTTCAATACCCAGACACTTCTTGCCTTTTCAGTCTTACACTTTGATGTCTTCCAAATAACCTATAGTTCCAAGACTCTGCCCTTGCTGTTCCTCAAACAGGACACTCATCTCTCAATTCTGCACCTTTTTCCTGGCTGTCCAATATGGGTGAAAAGTTCTCACTCCTTCACCTACATCTCTGTTCCCTAGAGAATTTTAAGACTGTAATCAAAATCTACTTTGTTTGAGAGGATTTTTCTAGCATTCCTCTTTTTCACCATCCTCTTTCTTCCTTCTTAATTATCTTCACATCCACTGTGTCTACCTTGAAGGTCCCTATTCATTTACAAGATGTCTTTCCCATTAAGTTGTCAACTCTTTGAGGGCAGGGACTGTATTTTAGCCTTCCTTTGTATCCCCTGCACATGGTACCATGCCTGGGTGATGATAAGAGCTTTGTAAATGCTTGCAGACGACTCAATGACTGACACATTTCTTTTCCCCAATCCCCAAGCCTGTATTTGTGTAGCTCCTTCTTTTTTCCTATTCTGGGGCAAGATTTTCAGGAAATTCCTAATAAAACACATGCCATTCAATGTGGCCCATTATACCAGCCTTTGGACAACTTTTTAGATTCTTTCTCGGTTCTTCTGCATGTAAGGTAATTCCCAAAATAATTTCCCCTCAATTGTTAATCCATAAGTAAAGAATGAATGAGAAAATAAAGGGTAGAAATTATCTTGAAGGTCTCTGAGCTCCTTTTCTAGGTCCAGAACCCCATTACCTAGCTTCCCTTCTCCTTTACTGCACAAAAGCTTTTGGGCCAATGTCCACTCAGTCCAGCCTTCCCTCACCCACACTCTTCTGTATCTCAATTACTTTTCCCTCTTGAACCCAGCTCAGACTTCTCCAATGCCATCATTTCAGGGTACCTGATTCCTTCAGGGAAGGAGGCAGTCAGACAGAAAGTGGATTCCCCTAAAAAAACCGAGGAATAAAAGGATAGTAGTCCTTCTATGTTGGGAGGCACCATGATAAGTGTCCCAAAAGGTTCATTAATTAGTAGGATTATCAGGTCATGGGTGGGAATGAAGCGCAAGTTGCCAGTAGCTGTCAGATGTTTCCTGCCTTCAGGTCCTGACCTCTTTACAATACACAATATTGCTTCTCATGCAATCCCTCTGGCCTTTCAAATCCCTGGTAGATGTTGTTCAGTCATGTCTGACACTTCAGGACCCCATTTGGGGTTTGATACTAGAGTGGTTTGCATTTTTTTCTCTTACTGATTTTACAGATGAGGAAACTGAGGTAAACAAAGTTAAGTGACTTTCCGAGGCTCACACAGCTAGTAAGTGACCAGGGTAGGATTTGGTATCAGGAAGGCCAGTATTCCCAATCCCAGTCTCGGCATTCTATCCACTGCACGAGCCCACAGCCTCATAAAACTGTAAAACTGATTAAAACTAAAAAAAGCCTAAGAACAGATGGGAATAGCATGAACACCCATCACACAAGGATCCCAGGAGGAGAGGTATCTTCAGGGTATCAAGGTCTCAGGGCCTTCCCCTGCTCTGGAGTCAGTCTTCTGCTCCTAGAAGTCCCACATGTATACCTGCTTTCCATAAAAGCATCCCCAAAGGGAGGGCCTGCAAACCCAGGGAGATAAACTAGGGCTGGGGGCAGAGAAGCCACAGGGAAGGAGACATTGCAAAATGGGGTCACTGTCCCAGCTTCTCTTTGGGCTCCTCATGCTTTTGGTCCCAGGTGAGGACATGGGACAATATAACATGTAGACATGCAATTTTTCATGAGATGAGAGAATCTAAAGCAGCTTACAATGTCTGGGGCCATGAGCCAGCACAGTCCAAGGGGGAAGGGGATTTCTAGGAGGTCATTGGGGTTTGCAGAGCCAGGCTGCTGTGGGCTAAATATCAAAATGGAAGGAGCCTGTGCTGTTTATTTCATACTGGTTCATCATTCATTCTTGCTTTTAGGTTCCAGGGGGGAAATTGTGCTAACCCAGTCTCCACCCTCAATGTCTGTGACCCCAGGAGAGAGAGTCACCATCAGCTGCAAAGCCAGTCAGAGTGTCAAATACAGTGATGGAAAAACGTATCTGTACTGGTTCCAACAGAAACCTGGACAATCTCCTCGGCTTCTCTTTTACCAGGTTTCCAAGCTGCATTCAGGAGTCCCTGCGCTGTTCAGTGGCAGTGGTGCTGAGAAGGATTTCACCCTCACAATCAGCAGTGTGGAGCCTGGGAAGGGGCATATTATTACTGCTTTCAAGGAACTTCTCGACCTCGCACAGGGTTATGTCCCCAAACAAAAACCTCCCCAGGCGTAGGCTGGCTGGTCAGGGGGGCTCAGCTGTCTCCTCTCCTTCCTCTCCTCCAGCAGCTGCTAGGCTGTGACTCACTAATTACAAAGTTGTTTCTTACCCCGTTGTGGTTATTTGAGGAACTCCGTGGAGTTCCTCCGATGTCTGTTTCATTCCTTTCTCCCTGAACCATCTAACATAGTTCGATGTGTTAGCATCTGTGTTGGGGGCAAAACCTCAAGTCTATGCTGGTTCATTAAAAGGCTACTTTCAGCTGCAAAGGACTTCTGTGCTCACTTTCCCCTCTCTGCCCCAACAGGATTCAGATTAAAGTCACCCTGGAGCTCACCATTATCCTGGTCCCAGCTACTGTAATAGTGCCATTCACTCCCTCCACTCTCTCCTTCTCTTTCTCCTGCCAAATAAACTACATTAAGAATCAGACTCAGTTCTTGTGAGACTTCTGTCAGAAAAGACCAGATGGAGGGATAGTACCGGGGGTCAATTGACTTCCCCAATACACAGCAGTAAGATCACATTGAAGGTCAGACTAATGGAGTTTCAGGGTTAGTCCATGAAGATAATGCTCCATTAGAGGTTACCTCGCTTTCAGGAAAACCTTGGCACAAGCCTCTCATGCTTTCTTTTGTGACAAGATGGAGAAAAGTGGGCTAAAAGACCAGAGGCTCATCTGGATTAAGAAAATGGTTGATTGCTAGAGTCAATTCAAATCATTCATGGAGACAACTTTCAATAATGTTTCAAGTAGAGGACCTAGGGCATCTGTGTAAAAGTAAAGAATGAATGAGAGATTAAAGGGTGGAAATTACCTTGAAATGCTCTGAACTCCCTTTCTGGGGACAGACTCCCATTACCCAGCTTTCTTTCCCCTTTGCTGTCCAAAAGTCTTCAGGCCAGCATCCACTCATTCCTGTCTTCCCTCACCCAGACTCCTCTGGATCTTAATTACTTTTCCTTAATGCCCTTGACTTCCCCGATGCCATTATTCAGGACACTTGATTCCTTCAGGGAAGTGGGGGTGGAGAAAAACCTGCTTCCCCTAACCACAGCAAGGCATAAAAGAATGGCAGGCCTTCCATTTTAGGAGGCTCTATGCTAAGCACTCAAAAGAATCATTAATTAGGGGGACATCAGGTCATGGGTTGGAGTAAAGTGCAGGATGTCAGTAGCTTTCAGATCTTTGCTGCTGGTAGTCCTGACCTCTTTTCACTAGACAATATTACTTTTCATGCAAGCTCTCTGGCCCTTTGGAACCATTTTGGCTGTTATTCAGTCATCTCTGACTCTTCATAATCCCATTTAACATTTTTTAATTAATTTATTTATATTTAGTTTTCAATATTCACTTTTATAAGGTTTTCAGTTCTGAATTTCTGTGTCTATTGGGATTATGATGTGATTTCTGTTAATTCTGTTACTCATATGGTGAATTATGCTGATAGTTTTCCTAATATTGAACCAGCCCTGCATTGCTGGTACAAATCTCACCTGGTCATAGTGTATTATCCTCATGATAAATTCCTGTAATCTCTTTGCTATTATTTTATTTAAAATTTTTGTATCTGTATGCATTAGGGAAATTGGTCTATAATTTTCTTTCTCTGTTTTGGCTCTTCCCAGTTTAGATATCAGCACCACACTTGTATCATAAAAAGAACTGGGTAGAACTCTTTCTTTGCTGATTTTCCCAAAAACATTTATACAGCATTTGAATTAATTCTTCTTTCAGTGTGTGGTAGAATTCACTTGTAAATCCGTTTGGCCCTGGTGATTTTTTCTTAGGAAGTTCACTGATTGCTTGTTCAATTTCTTTTTCTGAGATGAGATTATTTAAGTATTTTATTTCCCCTTCTGTTGATCTGGGCAATTTATATTTTACATACAGATTCACCCATTTCACTGAGATTGTCAAATTCATTTGCATGCTGTTGGGAGAAATAGTCACTAATTAGTGTGTTAATTTCCTCTTCATTGGTGGTGAATTTGCCCTTTTTCTATTTGATGCTGGTAATTTGGTTTTATTCTTTTTTTAATCAAATTAAATAAAGGTTTATCTATTTTCTAGGCTTTTTTTTTCATAAAAGCAGCTCTTAGTTTCATTTACTACTTCAATAGTTTTCTTACTTTCAATTTTGTTGATCTGTCCTTCAATTTTCAGAACTTCTAACTTGGTATTTAATTAGGGATTTCAAATTTGTTCTTTTTCTAGGTTTTTTTGGTTACATACCCAATTCACTGATCTCCTCTTTCTATACTTTATTCATGTAAGCATTTAGAGATACAAATTGTCCTCTAAGAACTTCTTTGGCTATATCTCATAAGTTTTAGTATGATGCCTCAATATTGTCATTCTCTTGGATGAAGTTGTTGGTTGTTTCCATGATTTGTTGTTTGATCCTTTCATTCTTTAGGATTAAATTATTTGATTTCCAATTAAATTTTAGTCTATTTATCTATAACCCTTTATTACATGTAATTTTTATTGCAGCACGGTCTGGAAAGGATACATTTAATATTTCTGCATTGGATTGTGAGGTTTTTGTGCTCTAGTACATGGGCAATTTCTGAGTAGGTGCCATGAAGCACTGAGAAAAGGTATATTTCTTTCTATCCTCATTCAATTTTGTCCAGAGGTCTACCATATCCAACTTTCCTGAGATTCTATTCATGTCCTTAACTTCTATCTTGTTTATATAGTGGTTAGACTTCTCTAGTTCTGACAGGGGGAGGATGAGGTACCCTACTAATGTAGTTTTGCTGTCTGTTTCTTCCTGTAACTCACTTAACTTTTTCTCTAAGAATTTGGATGCTATATCACTTGGTGCATATATGTTTAGTATTGATACTACTTCATTGTCTATGATACTTTTTGGCAGGATATAGTTTCATTCCTTATCTCTTTCAATTAAACTTATTTTTGTTTTTGCTTTGTCTGAGATCAGGATTGCTACCTTTGGTTTGTGGTTTTTTTTTTTACTTCAGCTGGAGCATAATACATCTGCTCCAGCTTTTTACCTTTACTCTGGGTGTATCTCTGTTTCAAATGTTTTTCTTATAAATACCATATTGTAGGATTGTGGTTTCTAATACACTCTGCTATGTGCTTCTGTTTTATCAGAGACTTCATCCCATTCCCATTCACAGTTGTGATTATTAACTGTGTTTTTCTTTCCATCCTATTTTCCCTGTTGTTTATGCTTTTCTCTCTCCTGTCTCCCTTTCCTTCAGATAAAGAAGGAAATCATTCTGGCATGGGAGACAGCCAGTGAAAAAACCCACAGCATTGAAGGGTATGTGCTGGGATGTAAGGTGAAAGAAGACTGGAAGTCAGGGGGCCTCAGGTTGTGAACCACTTCAAACTCCAAATAGGATTTTGTAGTTGTTCCTGGAGGAAATAGGGAGCCTCTAACATTTACGGAGCATGGGAGGCTATCAGGGCTTAAATTAAGGTCTCCTGACTCATTCCATGAAACTAGAAAAGTCTTTTTCTAAAAGCTTTCCACCGGTCCTATAGGACCTATATTAACTCTTTCCTGTGATAAAAGCCCCTGACCATTGGGCTCTCAGTAGAGACCATCAGTTACTAGGAGCTTTGAGTTCAGGCTCCTCAATTCTCCAACTTTATTAAAAACTGCCAGCAGAGGGCAGCAAAGTACGACCAAAGGGTTATTCTACTGATTTCTCTCCAGTACTTTATTTTTTTTAAATATAAATTTATTTTAGTTTTCAACATTCACTTCCACAAGTTTTTGAGTTCCAAATTTTCACCCCATCTCACCCCTCCCCCCACCCCAAGATGGCATGCATTCTGAATATCCCTTCCCCTACTCTGTCCTCTCTTCTATCTCTCCCCCCTTCTCTTATCACCTTCCCCTTCTATTTTCCTATAGGGCAGGATACACTTCTGTACCCCATTTCCTGTATTTCTTATTTCCCAGTAGGGTGTGAAAACATTTTTTTAAACATGTTTTTAAAACTTTAGGTTCCAAATTTTCTCTCTTCCTCCCTCCCCACACACCCTCATTGAAAAGGCAAGCAACTCAATATAGGTTGTACATGTGCAGTTATGCAAAACACTTCCATAGTAGTCATGTTGTGAAAAACTAACTCTATTTCCCTTAATCCTGTCCTGCCCTCCCATTTATTCTATTCTTTCTTTTGACCCTGTCCCTCCTCAGAAGGATTTACTTCTGATTACCCCCTTTCCCAATCTGCCCTCCTCTCTATCATCCCCCTGCTCTCTTGTCCCCTTCTCCCCCTATTTTCCTGTAGGGTAAGACAGACTTCCACGCTCAATTGAATGTGTATGTTATTCCCTCCTTAAGTCAAATCCTTTGAGAAAAAGATTCACTCATTCCCTCTCACCATCCCCCATTTCCTCTCCACTGTAAGAGACTTTTACTTTCTGGTTTTTTTGTGTGAGATAATTTACCCCATTCTACCTCTTCCTTTCTTCTTCTCCCAGTAAAATCCTCTCTCCTCCCTTAATTGTATTCTCCAGATATGACCCCTTAATCTTCAACTCACCCTGTGCCCTCTACCTATCTATATAAACATGCATACATGTAATTTTTTTCCTCCAACTACCCTAGTACTGACAAAGGTCTCATGAGTTATAAATATCATCATTCCATGCAGGAATGTAAACAGTTCAATCTTAATAGGTCTCTTATGATTTCTCTTTCCTGTTCACCTCTTCATGTTCCACTTGAGTCCTGTATTTGAAAGTCAAATTTTCTATTCAGCTCTGGTTTTTTCATCAAGAATGCTTGAAAGTCCTCTATTTCACTGAATTACCATGTTTTCCCCTGAAGGATTACACTCAGTTTTGCTGGGTAGGTGATTCTTGGTTGTAATCCTATGTCCTTTGCCTTCCAGAGTATTATGTTCCATGCCCTGTGGTCCTTCAATGTAGAAGCTGCTAAATCTTGTGTTGTCCTGATTATGTTTCCATGGTCCTTGAATTGTTTCCTTCTGGCAGCTTGTAATATTTTCTCCTTGACCTGGGAACTCTGGAATTTGGCTATAATATTCCTAGGAGTTTTCATGTGGGGATCTCTTTCAGA